GACCTCTAGCATCAACAAGGCATTTCGCCCACAGGACTGCCGCATACTGGATGTTTTTCCCTTTGCACACCATTCTTTGTAAACCCTAGAAATGATTGTGCGTGAAAATCCCAGTAACTGAGCAGATTGTGAAATACTCAGACCGGCCCGTCTGACACCAACAACCATGCCACGCTCAAAATTGCTTAAATCATTTCTTTCCCATTCTGACATTCAGTTTGGAGTTCAAGAGATTGTCTTGACCAGGACCACACCCCTAAATGCATTGAAGCAACTGCCATGTGATTAGATAATTGCATTAATGAGAATTTGAAGAGGTGTTCCTAATAATCCTTTAGGTGAGTGTATATTAAAAGGCCACTAGGGGCCTCCAAATCCTTGCCAATTTTTTGTCAGTCTTAACGTAATGAATGAGAATTGAATCCAACACTTCAAACAGAAATAACTATACAGGCTAATTTCCATACAAATGATGAATGAAGCAAAGGCATGTGGTTCCTACAGGAGCTGATAAATACAAAAATATATTTTATTGAGCATGCATCATCCACAACATTGTAACTGCAAATATCCTGTACATGGTAACCCAGTACCCTCTCTCAGCAAGTCGGGTCATATTTCTTTCTGCTTCTCTCGAAGTAATTGGTGTTACAATGAGCTGCTCATTTTCCCAGTCACAGCTGGAAAATACCTTAAGGACTCATGTTGATTAATCAAAATGCTGCTCAATATTACCTGTCCCCATGGGTGTGGAACAGGAGTGGAAAGTTCAGGGTCAGAAAGTACAGATCCAGACCGAGATTTTCTTTCAACAAAACAGTCGAGCATGAAGAGTCACAGTCACTCACCTGGTTGGTTGGAACAAAATCTCGGTCTGGATTTGTACATTCCGGACCTGAACTTTCCACCTCTGGTGTGGAACAGCATTTACATTTATAACATTCTGACCTCCCACATCGAAGCATTGCCAGATACAAGATCCAAAGTGAAAAACAAGCAATTATATACAGACAAGACAATACGCAGAAACACAGTTTGTGTGGCTTCTGATTAACATTTAATACAAATGGTGTTTACAAAAGAATGCTGTGCGGAGATATAAAGCAAAACACATATCAGTAAAAACTCATTTCTTCTGTATCCTGCTCTGTGCAACGTGGGCGCAAGTGTTGGTGAAGCTATTAAGTCCTATACATTAAGCTATACATTATATATTACATTAAATAACAAAATAATTCAGTGTAACATATACATACATATTTAAATTCTTAACACCAGGAATCACTGCTGCTTCAGGCTGAACTGTCTTCATACAATATTTTGTGTTTTGTTTTTGCATCATGCAAGTGGAGATATCTAAATTCTAACCTGTGGTCAAACACAGAATCACGACCCAGTGATTGGTTATACTGTCCAGCATCTTCCGTTGCTCTGGTAACCCCCCGTCACACAGATTTGCCGGACAAATCAGTTGACGGAAGAATTTCAAATCCTTTCATAAGCTTTTCAGATTCCCTGATAAGCATTAATGTGGGGACCTTTCGCCTTTTTGCCCCTCTCCATATTATAAATGTCATGCATGCGTAACGCCACCACATCTGCGCAAAAATGCTGCGGGATTTATTTTCCAAAGGTTACTCCTCAGACTCACAGTGCAGTTCCTCGTAGATAAGCAGGTACCAGGTCTGTGCCATGCAATGCATCCACTGCACAGGTCAAATCTCAAGTGTCCAGACTCCTCTGGGAGGGCTTTGGGCCCCGAGTACACGGCTGGCGGCCGGCCTCTCTAAGGCTCGTGATAGATGTGCTGGGCTGGATGGGCGGCCAGCTGAGGTTCGGCATACAAGACACTGGTTGAATGTGGGCCACTCTCACCAGACAGAGGGAAGCTGGAGCCGCTGGGGCGCCCCCTACGGGTAGGGCAGTCGTATTGCGCTTGCAGTGAGCCGTTGGTTCTCAGTGCCAGCGGAGGCAAATGAATGGCGAGCCGGCCGCCCTTGGCGTGTAGGACCGGCGCCGGTGGGTCGGGTGGCTGCTCGCCGAAGGGCGTGGCGTATTCGGGCTCGGGGAGCAGCGGCTCGGCGTACTCCACGGCCACCCTCCCCGGAACGTCATAGTGAGAACGTACCAGCGGGGAGGTGTAGCCCCCGTCAGATGCTGGCCGGAAGGTGGAGCCCAGCTTCGGTCCTACTGTGAGCAGGTCTGGGGAGGCGTAGACTGGGGAGGCGGGAAGGGAGGGGGGTAAAAAAAAGAAAGGGCAGAAAAATAGAGGAGGAAACAGAAGACAGTGAGGCGTAGATGTGGGTTTGAGCGCCCCGCCCACCCCGATAATAACAAACAGCAGAATGACGGGGAAGGGGACGTAGCACACCGTCACGGTCTGAATGTGTCATCTGCCTCGCTCTTCATGTGGTGATGACATCACCAAGAACCTTAAGTTATGCACATCTTTTACAGAGATACATCATATCTAACACTGCACGCTTTATAGCGGCCAGAACGTGACACCAAATAACAGAAAGTCCTGGACAGAAGTTAAAGGATCTGTTTGTGATTCTGTAGTAATTCCTCCTCTGTGCGGCACAAAGGGTCTCTGAGCTCACTGGAACGGGCTGCACGTTCAGTCACACAGAACGCCTTCTGTATCGGAGAGGGACCTCTCCCCGGCACTGCCGAAGAGGCCCAGACACCGAGAAAAACGTCACCGTGGGGGAGGGGGCCGGGTCTTTCCTGCCTCCTGTAGTTAGTGGCATTTCTCCCCCCGAAAGAGTGACAGAAAAAACTTCGGATCTAGTGACACCTATAGATAGATGACTTTATTAATACGGAAGGAAATTTAGGCATCCAGTAGCTCAAAAAACACAATGATGGACACAGTAATATACATGGTAATAGAATAAAACACAAGCATTGCAGATGTAGAGGGTGCGTCTATGGATGCAGTGCAATGGTCAATACCTCAAAGAAGCTGTACAGGTCAAAGTGATTATGAGTGCATGGATAATAATAATTACTGATATACATTACAAATAGGATAAAATAAATAAACAAATGAATAAATAAATAGTATAAAAATATAGTTTTAAAAAGGTAAGATATGAAATATATAATCCATATACTTTAACATGAAACAATATGTG